GCTCTTTCCCTTTCCGGTGAATAACTTTAAAATCGTACTGCTGAAGCCTCATAATCTAACGGCAGATTCTACTAACGGGATCCTTGATCTTGAAAAGCCTTTTAAGAAAAAAGTGATCAGTAAAGAAGTTGAAACGTGTACCATCTAAATATGGTCTAAGCTTTTCGACCGTAAATATGATCTCTAGATACTCCTTTTCAAAGAACCACTAAGGTAACATATAACCTTCTCCTCCTGAACTTGCGAAAACACAGCTTTTAAAACGTAATCAGAAGTATCAGTTTGCACTAAAAAAAGCAACCCAAAGTTAGGACAAGAATGAAATGGAGAAGAAATTAAGGGACCATTAATGGTTTCCATGGCTATTTGACAAGCTTCGTCCCAAACAAAACTTTTTGTTATGTGCAAAACCGTAGTAAGTGTAGCTGTGATAATTAGAAAATTGGATGTGATATGTCTAAACTAGAAAGCTATTCAAATCAAATCGCAAACCTCTGTGACTGACTTTGGTACAGGGATATTTAGAATGGCTTCAAGTTTCTTGAAATCGACCAACATTCCTGATGTATTAAGAATGTACCTAAGGTACTAAAGCTCAAGCTTGCAAAAAATGCACTTAAACTTGTTTTAATTTAGTCTAGTAGCAGTAATCCGTTCTAGGACCCTGTTTAGAACATGCAGATGCTGGGAAAAAGTAGATGTACACACAATAATATCGACCAGGTACACAAAAACAAACTTTTTAAAGTTGTAACCTAACATTTGTTCAACGAAACGTTGCCACATAGCTGGAGCGTTTTGGAGACCAAATGGCATTCGCTTGAACTAAAATAAACCTCTCGTGAAAATTACAAAAGCAGACTTTGTGTCTAATGTGGTAAAATATCTTGCGTCTCTCAACTTATCCAAGATAAAACTCATTAACCTTGTTTAGATTTTTGTAGTTCACACAGAAATGGTAGGTGCCATCTGTTTCCTTGACCAACACGATATGAGATATGGAAAATCGGAAAGCCCAATAATATCATTCGCAAGCATTTGATTCAATTTCTGATTATCATATTTTTGCAGTGCAGATGTTTTAATCTTATGTTTAACTAGATCAGTACATCCCAACGTATTTCCCATCTTATCAAATGCTGCATTCACAAGATATTCTAGTTTTTTCGTTTAATTTCTATCAGATGTTCGAATTATTGGATTGCAGATACTTAAGGCACTAAAAGGTCTGGGTCAGTTGCAAAGGACTAATGCCCGGAGTACAAATCGGGAACGATTCCCATCAGTTTTCAAAAATCAACGCCACGGATAAGACTAAGCGGAAGATCTGAATCCACTAGTATATCAAAAATCGTGAACTTATCCTAGAGTTGTATGGGTAGAATAATCGAACCCACGACTTGCGACAGTACACTGTTGTGACTCAGCCGAGTGGATGGGGCTCCAACCTAGGCCGCCTAGTACTGTTCTAAAACACCCGCTGTCTAGGACAGCAACACTTATCTTCCGAATATTTTATTTTTAAATATGGCCTCGCGTCATTTGTGGCATGAGCCAAGACCAAATCAAGGATATTAGACTTCGACTTAATTGATACGGTCAAATTTTTATTCTGTTGAGGTTTCGATCGACCTATTTCAAACCTTCCCAGGCAGCACACTTTGGTATAAATTACGTATTTTTTTAGGTACTACCATACGTATGAATACGATTGATGTACTACCAAATATATTCGTGAAAATGTCCGCCTTATAAACGTCGATTACTAAGAATTTATCCACCTATAATTAAACGTTTTTACTATACGTCTATATTAGATTTATAGTTGTAGTATATTTATACGAATTCACTTTGGTATAAAATACGTTTTTGTATGTACTACAATATACGTATGGATACTGTTGATATGCTACCCAATATATACGTGAAAATGTCCACCCTATAAACGTATATTTTTTATATTTTTTATACGTTTAACATTACTACTTTATCTACCTTTAATTATCCTGTTTTACTATACTTCTATATTAGATATATTTGTATGATTTTTATTAATGTGTAAAATGCGTCTACCTGATATTGTTTTAAATGTATTTCAATCACAAATTAAATAAAGTGATCAAAACAAAATTTCTAAAAGAGGCCATGGAAAAATGTTAATATATCTTAAATGATAGTTTGGATTTTATCCATAGCAGGTGTGTATACACCAGAAATTGGCATTACTCGTGTTTCTATTTTGGTTGTAATTGGTCTAAAAGAACATTTTTTGATCACTTGTTATATGTACAGAACAATATTTTATTTAAAAAAATTAAACAATAAAATACTAAAAAAAAAAAAATACAAAAAATATAAACACTAAAATACTGAATAACAAACTAAACGAAACTTTTCTTTAACTAACAAAATATATATATGAAAATAAAAATCTTAGCTTAACACTTTGGATGTGTTGTGTCCTAGAGACGGGCCTTAGCTAACTTAAGCTAATCTTGCATGGCACACCTAATCGTTCGGTCGGTTAAGTCGCTTGGTTCACCCCCATTCCTATAACCAGAATGTAATTCAATTTCAGATGAAATATTTTCTAAAAGCTCCGAAGTTAAATTTGTATTATTTTCTTGGAAATTATTATAAATAATAGAATCAGATGATCTATTAATGTCCGAAGCCTTATTAATGTTATCTTCATTGGGAATTAAAAAAAATTGATTTGACTTTAAAGCATCTTGAACATTTTGCGCCATTTTTCTACGTAGATGACGCAGAGACAGGGTTATTTTAGACATTTTATTAAATAAAAAACACTGACCAAAAAAAAGAAAAATAAGTATGCTTGGAATAACTAGGTAACCTAAAGAATACGTATAAAAATAAAAGAAACAAAAGTAAGGTTATGTTTTGAAGTTTCAATAAGCATTTAACACATTGTACGTACCTATAAAACAGTAGTTGTTGCAAAATGCAACACTTATTAAAGGAGTAGCTAAATTAAAACATTAATAGAAATTTACCTAAGCTTTTAATCAATATCGTAAAAGCCAGGACGACAAAGCAACATACAACAAAACGTGTACACAAATGATAATGGACGAACCGATGAACCTGCTCCCACAAACCATTCCCTACACTAAACAATAATATTACACATACGCATGAGTAGAAATGAGAAAAGACCGTAGCACTAGTACGTCATCCTCCATCCGCAATCTAAAAATAGTTCCGTGTGTATGGGGAATTTGTTATAAATATTACAGGTAATATAATTAAAAAAATATGGATATAATGTAAATAAATATATCTATAAGCTTTTAATTTAAATAAACCTAAATATATACATATTATTTACTTCTGCCTACTAGTTCATCGTAAACTGGTATTATGCGTTTAAGGTGACTTATATTTAAACGTAGAATAATATAGGTATATTAACTAGTATCGACAAACAAAAGCGTTTAATTTATCTGTTAAAAAACGTTAAATATAAAAATGGTAGATGGTAAACGTTTAAAAAATCAACCAAGACGAAATTTAAACGGAAATTATAAACGAAGAAAAAATATTGTAATATAATGTAAATTTATACGAATTTAATTTAAATAGACCTAAACGTATATTTAGGCCCACTGTATATAAATAGTTCATCGCAAACTAAAAATAGTCGTATATTGTTAACTATATTTAAACGTAGAAAAATTTACAATTATATACCATAGGATGTATATAAAAACGTATAATATATCGTTTAAAACACGGTATGTATAATAATCGTAAACTGTAAAAGTATACGGAATCAACCAATACCAAAATTAAACGAGTATTACGTATAAAATACGTTAGTTATACTAATGTGTGCAGCCTGGGTTCTCTTCCGGTTTTTTACAGGATAGTCACCGATTAACGGTGACACCCTTGCGACTGCATTTTCAGCAAAATAGATTTCTAATCAAGGAACATTTTTACAAAAAGGTTGTTGCGGTAGCTATGTGCCAGGGTCTGATGTTAAAGCCTCAAAATAAGTTACAGTGTAAGGAGGTTGATGAGGACAAAATAAGTTACAGTGTAAGGAGGTTTATGAGGACAAAATAAGTTACAGTGTAAGGAGGTTTATGAGGACCTCGATAAGCCAATTCAAGTTCAACTAATCGGACGTATTTATGAGAGGAGGTAGGAAGTTCTGGATCCGTATTGAAGCCTCTTCTAGGTTATTTTATGGTTTATTTTATTTTGTTTGTCATACTTGTATAGTAACCAATTAGATTGTAAAATGAAAATGATATAGTTAATTTCTAGCATAGCTACGCAATAAAAATACCTTCATCATGAAAGCTTACTTCTGTTTCCCATTCATAATATAAGAAAAGCGTCTTAGAGATGCACACTAGAGAAAATCGACATACCATTACTATAATAAAAAGGACAAAGTAGAAAAAATAATAAAAGTCATCAATTACAAAAGTTTAAGTGAGATAAATTTACCTACATAAAAAACATATTTTCCCATATACATTGATTATTTACTATTATAGTAATAATGTTTACCGGTACACTTTAATCCTATAACAAATGCTATCAAAAAGGTTTTTGTCAAACTAAAAATTACCTACTAATTAAAAACAAAAAATGTAAATGGGATAAGAAGATATTTCATTTTTAAAAATTTAAACCGTCGGTCATGTTTTCTTAAGATGGTGTTTTTAGCTCACCACGGATTTTTTAAAATTTTATATTTTTGTTCCATAATATAAAACCTATCGATTTCCGATAAACAAATGTCCACTTAAACTTCCGTAAGAAAATAATATTGGCCTGTTTAAAAATAGTTGTATAGTAAATATTCGTAGAGCAAATACCCATCTATGATGAAAAATTGAATTTATATGAAACAATATGCTTAGGTATGCCCATAAGTGATTTATGACACTTCATATTCTCTTGACAAATTTATCATATTTATATCGTAAATAGCTATTTTCAATTTTAAAATTGTAGCTTACTTGTAACTGAATTGTAGCAGTCGTGTTTGAGGGTGTAATCACAATATCATCTTGTTTAATTTCTAAAAATAAAGAAATTATTTAACAAAAAATAGTCAAGGGTACCAAGACCTTGATAATAGTCGGCTATTTTTGTTAAATCTTAATCTCGAGAATATTTTAATATCAATTTGATGAGACATAATTTTTGACAATAATGCCAAAATTATGTAGAATCAAAGTGTAAAATGTTCGAGAAATTTAGCAACAACAGAAATAGCAGAATATTAATCAAGGTCGTGTTATATTTGGAACGACTATTTCAATAGACCAAATATTGACTATATCTCTAGAGAAATAGTCGCTTATATTTATTCTAGGGGGATAGTCGTCAATATACGCAAACCTATTAAGTTAGGGTGAGATTACAGAACGTCTGCAACTTTGCAGATCTGCAAATATGGCGGCAACTTTGAAAATCTGCAAATTTGACTGACTTAAACATGCAAGTATCAAGTTTTCGTATTCAAAATTTGGGTTTAGTGTTGTTGGGGGTAATAAACCACAATAAATATTGCGAATTTGCAGATATTTTTTGGAATACTTGCATTTGTAAGTCCGCCATATTTGCAAATCTGCAAAGTTGCAGACGTTCTGTAATCTCACCCTTAATAAGTACACTGTATAAAAACAATAACTTTCCTACCTTTTCATAAAGATGACCATAAATATTTTAACTGAAATGTTATTTTAATTGATCAAGAAAAACTTACGTCTACAGGTTGTATAAAATTGTAAACATTTTTCACTATATTTTTTTGATGGATATTCTCTTTTATTGTTATTAACAATAGCCCGAGCAATATAATTAGTATCAGGTTCTAAATCCTTGATGGTAACACTTGACGAAGTGGATAGTGGTATAAATGGGCCATCGTATTGTTTCCAATTCTAAAAAAAATATGAATACAAAATTATTACCATTTGTATTTACTTAATAATTTATTACTTTATATATAGATCTATGAGAATCTAAACACATTCGACTTCACAGTTGCTGAAAACAAGGAAGAAATAATAAACTCAGTGGGAGAAGATAATCTAGATGAGGGCTTAATCCAAGAAGACAACTTAGATTTAACCACTAAACCCCTAGTTTTATTGATGATACTTTAATAGCAGATAATTCGTTTATAATGAATATTGTGGTAGTTAAGAAATTAGAGGAAGAGTCTTTCAGTGATTATGTAGTGTCTAGAAAGTCGAATAGACAAAAATGGGTTAAAACATTTAATTTATATGTGACTTATTTAACTCTAGCTGTTGAAAGCTATCCAGAGGAAGCTCCACTAGGTGTCACAAAGGCTCCTTCATGATTTTATTGCAGCCTGTGGAGACAGATCATAGCAGATGAGAAGAAAAACCTTCACGGCAACGAAACTTGTGAACTGACAAACTTATCAAGAGTTAGTGCTTCAGGGGCCCAATTCCTGACGCCTTCGTTAACTTATCGCATACGATAACGTATGCGACTTGATGAAAGTGTATTCCTGAACTGGCGGCATTCGTCAAATTTATTAATGTATGCGCTAAGAAATGATGATTTTCAAAGAGCGCTCATGACCGTTCGACAACTACTTTGTCGTATTCGTTTAGGTGAAAGTAAGGTTATAATTGTCAATTAATCCTGCTTTATCATATGTGATTCGTGTTTCTATCTATTGGTTTTGTTTTGTGATTTATTATTTGGAAATATTTATTTTTAATTTGACTCTATTGAACATTTTATTAGAATATAAAAATGAAACTTTTTGTACCGTGAACTCTTTTATTGGACGTTTAGGTGCCACTTTATTTTGGTTTATTTTATTTAGTATGGATGATATAGAAAAAATATGAGTTTTACAGGCACTAAACAATGTTATAAATTATACTAAAGTTTCACGCAATTTTTCCGTTATTCGTGAACCACGCTGTTCCATTTTTAATATTCTAAATCTAAACCACTCCAATTCTCATGTCCAAAATACAAATAATCACAGTTAAAACGTCTAAAAACCAAAAATTATTAGACATCCAATCCATTTAATTTTATAATTTTTGGCAATTTTGACATGTGTCAATGCAATTATCTCATATTCAGTGATACCATCTTTGGTATTCTCAATCCTCATTGGTTAAGACTATGCAATAATCAAAGACTCTTCGTTAACACGTTCGACTTGATTCGCGATTATCGCATGGTGTTCAGGAATACTAAATTGCTGTCGTATGCGTTAACGACCATGCGTTATTTAGCGCATGCGGCAGTTAACGCATGTTTCGAGAATTGGGCCCCAGAGCAATCTAAACCGATTTATAAAATGAAAATTGATAGTGCTAATAATGGGTGTTTGCCCAAATAGAAGGGAAAGATTTTAATGAAACCTTTTTGTCTGTTTAATTTTAATAGCTTTAAATGTAAAACTAGATTAAGACACCTTACATCATGATGTAACGACAGATTTATATCGATCTCTATTAGTTTTGTTTTATACATAATTTCTCTACAATAGACCGTGATGGAAAAATTTGAGGAAAAGTATAAAATTTAAATTTTTTAGTATTTTTGTTGGCAATGAATATATATTAAAAACTGTTTTGAATAGGATGTATGTGGAGAATGAATATATATGTAAACATTTAAAGGGGTGACACAAAAAGTTGTATAAAATAACCGTAAAGAGCCTGTAATAACTGGACAGGAAAGTCAAATGTTGGACACATCAGATTTTTTTGCATATCAACACTTTCGCCGACACAAAAAAAAAACTTTTGTTGGAAAACAAATATCCGGTTACTTTTCCAAAATTACTAAACCCGAGGTAGCAAAAGCGGACAACAGAAAATGCTTGGATAGAGATTCTTTTATTAATATAGACAAATATTTCATTGCCAGCAATAAAAAATCAAGAAGCAACTTATCTTTGAATTTGACAGTTCACATGGTAGCTATCACCACCGGGCCATAGTACACGTTGTTCATCCCCTCTTCTCTATACCTAAATACAAATAACAGGCAAAAATACGGGTCACTTTTCGAAATCAGATGAGGGACTATGACAACACACTAATCACTGTTGCGCTAATTGGTTTGTGAATTAGCAAATATATTTCACACAAGTGTGTTATGTGTTGGTTCAGTCCATGTGTGGATGGTATGTTTGTGATATTTTTGAGTATGTCAAGTATTCTGCCAAATACAGCAATACTGTGTTGTATTAATACAAAAAATAAGAACACTAGAAAAATTTGCGACGTTTTTCTTACATGTCATGCATGTTTATTTTTTATATACCTACTAGGTACACGATCTCTATACTAAGCAGAAAAGTCAATACCTAAATTAGTATACTTACAAGAGGATATTCGTTTTTTGAATACTCAAAGTAATAATAACTTCCATTTCCTTCAATATCTAAGTTAACTTGTTGAATTTTAACACTTGTTGACTGGACGTCAAACACTATTGGTCTATCTTTAAAAAACGGCATTAACGCTACAAAAAAAAGATTTTATCGCTGTGTATGTTCTATACAAAATTATGATCGTTTATTTTATTTATCAAACTTTGTAACATATCTACTATTGGTAAACTTTACTAAGAGCACTACTGTAAAAAAGGGGGTAAAATTCGTTTTAGTTAAACGAGAACTTTTAATCGATTGTGCTTTATACTTCTAAGTTTGATGGGATTTTTTTAAATGACACTAAATCAAATAAGGTGATGCTTAATTAAAAATTATTTGCTATAAACTTACTTATATCACAATGTTTCCCCGCGTAAGGCTCTTTACATTGAGGACACTCGCCACTTACTGGATTGATTGTTGAATTACAGTGACTTACACTACGACGACATCCGTGACCATAATATCCTTCTGAACACTCTAAAAATAATGGTCGTCATTAATAGCGAAGTAATACTTTTCTGAATTGAATGCAGAAATATTTTAATCTGAATTTTGTGTTTACAATATTGCTCTTCATTTTGTTAGTGAAACAGTTAATATTATTCAATGACGACTTGGTATCATTTAAAAGTCACCACTTTTTTCAGTGGCTCTTCTACGGTTTGAATCACTTTTTGTTTTTTAGTTTTGGGATAATAAACATCTGCTTGGTCGCAGCGTCTAAGTTTCTTATTTTCTTTGTTTCATTTTGTTTTACTTTCATGTATCATTTCCGTTTTTCAGAATAAACTTAACGCATTTTGGATTTTACATAAAATGTATTTTTATATTTTGTCATAAGAAATATAACTTACAAAATATAATACAAAAAAATGCTAATAATCAAGAGAAAAATAGCTTAACAAGCTATGATTACTTGTATAGGTTTATACCAGTCTATAATCGGTTAAAGTTTTATACTTAAAGTCATAACTAATTAAGTGATTAAGTGTTTTAGAAATATTACATTATAATTGCAATCATCTGATTTTAATAATCAATCAATCAATCAAAATCAATATGCTGTCATTAACTAACCGTTTTAGCTGTAATAAAAATTTCCAAAATATTTATTATTGCTAAATTCGTCTGTTTGCCGACGTCGTTGGCTGTTGCAAAATGAATAGCATGACTTTTGAATACGATAATTTGCGATCACTATTTACACATGTTGGAATTTTCCTTAGTAATTCTTAGATAAATAAAAAAATTCTTGTAAGTTATAAAAAAATGCATCAATTTCCACGTGCAGTTAAGGCGATATTAGCAAATATAATGTGATTTTACCAGCCTAATAATATTTTGGTTACTAAATGAGATCCTATATTGTTAAACACCAATTATTTGGTTTGCCGGAGTCATAAGTGGCTGCAAATTAATCTTCAGATTTTAAATATTGAAATTGAAATTATATTGAATAATATCAAATTAGCAGCTGTGCTTTTTGCTATTTTAATAATGTGCCAACTCTGAAACGAATTGCAAAATTGGCTAGTTTGGATTTATTCGGTACTTCATTCAACCAGGAAGTTTAAAAAATCTTACAAATAATGATAATTTTTTCTATTCGTATATTTCTACTTACTGCCCTACTTTATCATATTGAGGTAGACGAGTTATGCACTCTTCCCGTACTTTTTTAGTAACCTCCGGAGATATTTGTGTTACCAATACTGGCGCCCGAGCAGCCCTTATTCTGCATTCACCACCTTCGCACAATACAGACTTTCTACTTTACTGAAGGTAAAACCAGAAGCCTGTCACAGTTATAATAATTATTTCAAATTTCAAATATATATTATCGATAACTATTAATAAACACACAAACACTGAGTTGTTTGGCATAAAAAAATAATTTCTATATTTCTATAATGTTAACAGGCTACTAAACCCACAGTTGGCGGCGATATCCAACAAATTACTCCGCCAAGTGATGACGTAGTTATGTTCTTCTTATTATAATGAGACTTTATCACGTACCACAGGACTGCAGAAACTATCGGTATTAGGTCATTTCTGCATGTTGATTGCCGAAATAAATAAGGTATTAGTGAATATTAATAGACGAAAGTAGATTGGTTATTTATTTTCGTTGTAATAATCATCTATGTTCATAATTTTAATTTGCTTAGATATTGTGAAAAACTGTAAATTAGAATTTTGCAGGACTATCATTGGAATAGTCTTTGTCGTCGGAACTTAAAGTTATGACTAAAGGTTCAAATACAGTTTTAGTCGTAGTTCAAGCGCTCTATTTTAATTTCTTCCTCAATTACGTGAGAAATATGATTCTGCCAATCTTTAGGTTTTATACGTTCTTTGCCAGTTTATAATAAACTTAAAGGTCGGCTTTTTTAAATATATTGTCTTTTAGAGCGACAAACCCTGTCACTTGCGCCCAAACATTGGCATAGCTAGGGAGGGGCCAGGGAGGGCTGGCTCCTCCTAATGTACCTCTGGCCCCCTAAAAGATTTAAATAAAAAGCTGCGTATCAAAATTGTATTTCGAATAGACGTCCAATGAACCTATTTGTGCTGTTTGGGCAGCTGCAATTTATACGCACTGCTTAGCTTATAGACTTAACTTGGCTGTGGTAGACTCAAAAATGTTCCATCAATATCGACATTTTTTTGTACTTTGAAAGCAATTTACGAACATTTCTCAGATCCACAGAACCATACCAAATACAAACAAATATTAAAAGACCATAATATTGTCCCCAGAGAGTTGAAAAATCTGTCCCGATACTTGTTGGATATGTCGATATTCGCTCCGTGCGAAGTCATGGAAAGGGAAGCAAAAGCGATACTAGCGCTAGCTGCGGATAATTCGTGCATTTTAGGGCGATATTTTGTAATTTTGACATATCAAATACACGTATACATTTTTTTTTTTTCAAAAAAGTAGGTAGAAACAACACAATAAGCAACCGGAGTTACTGTGTTGAAAATTGTACAAATACTAGCAAAAAAAAACAGTGAAACTTATATAAAAAATTTCACTAGCAAAGTGGAAATTAAATCAAAGAAATAAATGGATAGATGTACAATAAGGAGAAAAATTACCTTTATTTTTGTAATAATAACAGTAATGCTGTAAATAGTAGACATCAGAAACTTGAAAGGTTTTAAATAAACAATAAATTATCATTTTACGATGTTCTTTAATGTCCCTTTATTCTTAAATGTTCATTCAGTAAGGACTACTTTTCAAGATTTCTGCCTTTGATTATTATATGTGGAATGTGGATGGAATATAATTTTGTGACTTACTGATGAGAAACCAGTTTTAATCATTCATTCTATGTTTTCTTTCGAACAAAAATGAAAATCCAAATAGCGATCCTTTTTTTATACATTTTAATTTCATGCTATTATTAAGTGGTATTTTTTTATTTTGACAGATCAGGCTAATTCTTCAATGACAACTTATTAGACTTAGGCAACTTCTCATACATTTTCCAGTAAATACTGTTGCCTGCCTATATTTTATTATTGATTTTCATTGATTATACATAATTTTCTTTAATTTAAGCGTTAAAAATATATAATAATAATAATAAATTAATGTTTTACTTGTTTTACAAATCCATATACTTGTATTAAAACTAAAATAAATACTTTTTAATTACGAATTCTATAGGGACCGTGCGTGAAATATAGAGGCAGCACTACTGCCGAAGTTAGCCCTCTCTAGTGTTTAATTTTATAATTAAATGGGGTTAACATTGCAAGTAAATAATAAAGAATATTTTTTAAAATATTAAATATAGTTAAAAATAGATACCGGCCCGTACCAAACAATCGTGTACATGGTCAAAATGACGTAAAATGTGAAACATTATTAAAATCTGGACATGTATATACATTTTAAGCAAAAAGATTTAAATGGCTAAGTGACAATAAATTGCAAAGTTGTACCTTAAACAAGTGTATCCAATGTCAAGATATCGGTATTTAGTAACACTGAATTTAATAGTATTACAATAACATTTACAAAATGTAAATTAATATAAAAGATTGATAATTAATGAATCTTTTTAGTTAGTGGAAATGTCATTCATCCACTGACGTTTATGAGATGTCCATTGATACATATTATAGATTGCTCACCAATCTATAAAAAAATTATAAGAAGCGGGTTGCAATGTGCCTTTCCTAGTGCTCACTAAATAGAGCCGTTCTAGCCCAAATGTGTTTTAAAATAAAATTTCAGCATTTTAATCTTTAGAAAAAGATAATAATTTAAGTTTTACTTTAAGACATGTTATTATGTATTTAGAAAGTTGAGTTTCCATGTAGTTAAATATTCTAAATCTAAACAATTTTTATAACAGATGGATATAAATAATTATTAGACTACTCTCATTTCAGAAATAATACTACATAAAATACATAATTGTAATATGTAATACAATTTTGAAAAGGTAATGTAAACAACTTTGAGATGATGTATAAATAACTTTGGTAAGAGTTGTAATTGGATACTTATCTATTATTCTGAATAATGTTTAATGGTAATGTCACTAAAAAAATTTACAAAAAATCACTGGATTTTTAATATTTTAAAGTTTGTTCCAATCTCTTTTGACAGTAATTACAATGTATTATTTATGATTTATTTTAATAATAAATGAGAAATAGTTAATAAATTGTAAAGAGGGCCATGATATTTTTGTCAAATTGGACATTCTTATTTCATAATAAACATTCTACATTAGTTTTAATCAACAGAATAAACCATTTTATCTGTAAAATTATATTTATATAAAATGTTTATTTAAATATGCAAAAATCTTAATGATAAGAAAACACTAAAGATTCTAATTTCTAAACCGGTTCTGTAAATGATTTCTTTACAACTAAGTGCTCAAAATTGATACAAGCTAGATAAAAAGAAAACATTGCCCAGTGAAATACGCTTTTCGTCGTCTGATTTCAATGAACTGGAGTGGGGTAGAATGTTTGTCAATAGGCTTGAGATGCGACTCTATGGGCGAAGACAGGTTATTTTTCATCTCACTCGGGAGTATTCATAACGACCATTTTCTATTTCACTTTGTTATTGTCTGATCCACCAGCCTGTGGATTGAACAATAACAATGTGAAACAGAAAATGGTTATTATAAATACTCCCGAGTGAGATGAGAAATAAAAATGGCTGCGCCCATAGAGTCGCATCTTGTTCAATTGATAAAATATACACATTAGCTTTCTACTCCACTCCAGTTCATTGTCTGATTTACATATGGATAAGCAATCTTTGTAATTATGTATATCATTGGGTGTGAGACATTAATTGTGCTCTGAGGATATTTATAAAATTTCTTTACTATCGAATGAAATCCAGGTTTCCAAAGTGATATGTTTGTACATCCACGGATGCAACAAGTTTTTTCGATAATAATATTACGAAACTAATTCGACTTTAAAGGGAA